CTCTGGACATGTCCAAACCACTGTCCCTCCTCTGGACATGTCCAAACCATCTCAGTGTGTCCTCTCTAACTTTATCTCCCAGTTGTTCAACCTGTGCTGTACCTCTGATGATCTCATTCCTGATCTTCTCCATCCTTATCACTCCTAAGAAGAACCTCAACATCTTCATTTCTGACACTTCCAGTTCTGTCTCCTGTCTTTTTGCCCATGTCTCTGTTTCCAGACCATACAACATAGCTGGTCTCACCACTGTCTTGTAAACTTTTCCTTTGACCTTTGCTGACACCCTTTTGTCACAAATCACTCCTGAAACTTTTCTCCATCACTCCATCCTGCCTGGACTCTCTTCTTCACCTCTTTACCACACTCCCCATTTTCCTGGACAGTGGACCCCAAGTCCTTGAAGTCTTGCACCTTTGTGACCTCTGCTCCTTGTAGCCTCACTGTTCCACCTCCTCCCTCTCATTCACACACATGGACTCTGTCTTACTACGGCTGACTTTCATTCCTCATCTTTCAAGTGAATACCTCCACCTCTCCAAGTTCTCTTCCACCTGTTCCCTGCTCTCACCACAGATCACAATGTCATCTGCAAACATCATAGTCCACGAGGATTCTTGCCTGACCTCATCTGTTAGTCGGTCCATCACCAGAGCAAACAAGAAGGGGCTCAGAGCTGATCCTTGATGCACTCCCACCTCCACCTTGAAGCTATCTGTCACTCCTACAGCACATCTCACCACTGTCCTGCTGTCCTCATACATGTCCTGCTGTCCTCATACATGTCCTGCTGTCCTCATACATGTCCTGCTGTCCTCATACATGTCCTGCTGTCCTCATACATGTCCTGTTCCAGTCTGACATGCTTCTCCGCCATTTCAGATTTCCTCATTCAACACCGCATCATTGTTACTGTAAAACTGAAGCTGTTTTACTGGTAGTTGTGGTTTTACCTGAAGGTTTAGCACATGTGCCTGCATCAGCTTTGTTGGGAGTTTTTGCAGAGGATGATGGAGCATTTGAGGACTTCTCAAACAGTTTGTCCTCCATGTTGGCTCTCTTGACGTAAATGCACGACTTCCCCAGCAGCACAATACTGTTCAACACTTTAAGTGTTACCAGCCTACAGGGGTAAGGACAGTAGTAAACATATATTTATATTTTTTACTTGGCGAGCAATAAATTGTATTTATAACTAAAACAGCAGAAACGCTAACTTGGATAAAAATGTCATGAAGTGATACTGCAATATTACTTTTATTAAAAGGTACTAAAGATAAATCAGGAAATTTCAAAGGATTCTTCTGAACCATATCAAACAGTAACATTTGAAAGTGTACACTCCAGTCGTTTTCCAGAAATAATCTGAAATGTGGGGCCATACTCGATGTAAACAAAACACTCGACTGACTCTGCCAGCGGCTCGAGTCACATGACTGACCTGCAGTGGGCTGGCTGTAGTCTGCAAGTAAACAAATATGGCCACTAACTTCAGTGTCTGACCGATTTTCAGCGACTTCGGCTGCATCCAGTCACATTTTTGCTCACTAATTTTTCATTTACAAAATATTAACCAACGACATGAGAAAAATACTGTGCAGATAATTTTTTACATTATGATTTTGATGTTTCTGGTCTTTATTATTTTACATGATTACTTTTAATTTGTTCCACCGATGATCACTAATCGATGTTTAGCATTTTGCCTTGCACCTATTGGAGTTGTTTGAAGCATCATGTCTTTAACCACAGAATAGAAGTATAGAGGTTTTATTTTAAATTGGTGTGTGCGTGTGTGTGTGTGTGTGTGTGTGTGTGTGTGGGGGGGGTAATCCAGATCACAACTGAATGTGCTTTTAAGTTTAATTGAAACAATCGAAAAAAAAAAATGCTTGAACTTAAAAAGCCTCAGTGAATCTCTGGTTTAGCTGTTTCAGACTTGGATATCACAAAGTTTCATGCTGTGCTTAATTTGTAAACCAAACAATGCCAGAACGCAAAAAGAGAGGGGTGGGGGGTGTCCTCCTCCAGAAAATTTAGAATAAAGTAGATGTCATTTCCTGCCTTCTGGTGTATTTTAATGGGCTGTTAAACATCATCGTTTGCCTACACAAGTAAACACTGGATTCAAAATTTTAGAGAGGAACAAGAAGCAGCCTGACCAACAGCTCTCCTTGTGTGAATATTGCACACACAGCTTTTCTCAAGCATTAAAAAAAAAAAAAAAGAAATTGCTCCGCCCCAGAGATTTTTTTAAGAGTAGAAGCGGAAACGCTTATTGGAGAGCGCAGCTCTGATGTGATATTAGGAAGTTCATAAATGGCTATTGTGTTCAAAATGAGTGTTGCTGTATTTATTTTCAGATTACATGTCCAATACAGGTTTTATTTGTTCAAGGCAGTCAAATTGGTTCATAAGTTTATTATTAGTAAGCCTGAGAGTTACCAGATCTAAGCAAACAGTTACTGGAACACACCCTGTCAAAATAAGAGCGTTCCCGGATCATGTTCTGGCAAGATCCGGCTCAAATTGGGTCCTGGTTTTAGGACATTCAGATTAAAAAGGGCTGCAGCTGTTAAGAATCCTTGGATCTCCTGTTCTGAATCACCATTTAGGTCCCATCACTTGCACAAAAATATAGATGTGAATGGTTCTTTAGTGTTTGGGGCGACTGTCAGTGATGAGTGGGAGACGGACACTTCTGGGTCTGTGGAGCACTGCTCGCTGCGACAGGACGTTTGTCAGCTGAATCTCTGCTAAGGCACAGCAGCATGTTGAGGCCTGAGACATTTTTAAATCAGAAAAAAGGGAAGGGAATTCTTCAGTGGTACGAGCCCAGTGGGATCCAGCAACACCGACAGAGTGAAGCCATCAGCAGTAAACAGGGGTGATGTGAAGACCGTGCTGACGCTTGTGGAAGTGTGTGAATCTGTTTATGAGGCTGCCTGCAGGTGGTAACGCTTCTGATCAGGCTCAGAAAGCATGTTTTTATCCAGAACAGAACTAAAAATACATTAAAACATTTGTCTTCCTGTTACTGAAACTGGTGTTTAAACTTACTTTCACAGCAATACTAAAAAAAATAAAAAATAAAATAAGAATGCTTTCAGTAGAGTACGTGAGGTTTAAGAGCTCACTCAGTTTTGATGTTTAGTCAGTAAAACAACACTGAATAAAGTGATGAAAGGCTGAAGGCTTACCCGAGGTAGAAAAGGAACACACATGTGTATGATAGTGCTCCCTGCAGCTTCACTGAACTCATCACCACACGGATAAGCTGAAGAACAAAAGAAGACTCTTTAATTATCCTTCTGCATTTACTTCCTGAAGTGCAACAGTTTCTTACCAGAACAGCCAACGGCAGCGGGATGAAGCCCATCCTCCAGGCCACAGAGTCACTGTAGTCCGTGTAGGCCTACACAGTGACACAACAGAAGTCTTTAGCTGCATAGATTTATGTTTTAAAATAACTGAGGAGGAAACAAAATACCAGAGAGCGCCTTACATTTTTTTGTCGACTGCTGACGAGATCGAAGGCCAGACTGGCTCTGTACTCACTGTAAACCTGGAAGACAGTCAGTATTACACACGCTGGAAAAGCCACTGAACATATTCCGTAATGAACTAACGAATGGTTCTTACGTCTGCGGTGATGTCATTAAACTTTGTGATGAAGGCGTGTTTAATGATGTCCACAATAACTTCAGAGATGACGACCATAAAAACATCAGGTATCAACACCAGCAGGTGGTCTGAGGGACAAAGACACAGTCTGGGTTCAGTGTGAAGATCTTTACAACTCGCTACAAGCAAAGACATTTCTCTGCCAATGTTGGACTTTCTGCTCGTCACACTTCAATACAAGGTATTGTAGAGAATCAGTGTCCATGTAATGAAATGTCAGACAAGTATTAAAAATGTCCACCACAAAGCTCCAGACTGATGAAAAAACAGAAACATTTGATCGTTAGAGGCTGAAGCAGACGACCGTGTTTTCCAGCGTATAAGTCGCTCTGTAGTTTAAGTCACACCAGTCAAAAAAAGCACAGTGAAGATGCAAACACATGTTGCTTCGGCGTATAAGTCGCATTTATTATGCGTCACTGTCGACCCGTCATGTTCATTATACATTTATTTAATGGTCAAAACAGCTTCATTTCGCCTGGGTGGCGCAGCACCATCCATGCATCCATCACAGCCGGAGTCGCTAGCTCTCCAGCGTTCCTCCGCCTGCACCAGCTGAGTGAAGCGAGTGTGCACGGGAGGACTTGCTGTTGCAGTTCTTTGACATTTAAAGTGTCAGTCAAAAATTATGTTATGAATATGGGGAAAAAAAAACGTATACAAGTGGCTCCAGCGTATAAGTTGCAGGACTGATGAATCTCTGCAAAAAAAAGGCAACTTATACACCAGAAAATACGGTATTAATGCAAACGCCAGCGTTTCCAAGTGACGGATAGATGTTGTGATTTTCATTGTGTTTGGTAAAAGAAGGCTCCATTTCTGCTGTAATACATCAACGCACAGACTTCAGCTGACAGGCGCCGTTTGTCATCGAGCCACAGAAAGAGCTGAGTGTTTCCACAGAGCTGTCAAACAGCAACGCCCGGCTCTTGTTCCTGACTCTACTGTCTTGTTGACTGAGGCTTGCTGGAAACAAAACCTCCCCGAGGTGCTTCAGTGGGTCAGTAGAGCCAGAACAGGAAAAGAGCTGCTCAGCGTTCCTGTCTGAATTTCTGCCATGGCAAGCTCTGACCTCAGAGACCGAGGCCTCACATTACTGCGTTCTTTAAACAAATTTTGTTTTTGTAAAAATGGTCCAGACACAAATGCTCGTGTTAAATGTAGTCTTAAATGTTACTGAAGCTGTGGCTCACAAGGACGAAGATTGTTACCTAGATTCCATGAGAACTGCTCCATGTTCCTGAGACAAACGATGAGGAGGAGAACATAGCTGGTGAACCGTTCTTTAATATCTGCAGGATTAAATAAATTAGCTCAGTCTGTAGAAACATCTTGCTTTTTCCATCTTAGTGTAAACAGTGTTTTTAGTTTTATTTTGCTGAAGGATGAGAGATTATAAAACTAATACTTTAATCTGTGTTGTTTAAATGCCACATTTCCTTCAATCTCTTCAAAGCAAACAATATGTCAATCAACACAGACATCAATTAAATACAACAGAACAGTAAAACATGGCAGCGGATTAAGATTATTATTATTATTATTATTGGTGTTCTGACTCATGACTGAGATTTAAGAAGTCGTTTGAAACTTCCATTGAATTTAATGTTTTCAATGTTCGTATCTTTCAGACAATTCCTTCAAATAAAACCGAAGACTAATTAGGACTTTTGGTTTCTTGTTACAGTTCGGTAACAAACAGGAAAGTGACCATCCAAAAACAGTTGAATGATCTAATAAAGTGTAAAAAAGTAAATAAAAGGATTTAAAGAACTTAAAGTTTGTTGATGTTTGTCTTCAGTCAGATCACTAATGGATCATGAAACGTTGGTTGTGTTCTTTTCAGAAGATTCATTATTTGTTTAAAGATAAATCACGTTCATTTAGATTTTACAACAGAGGTAAATAAAAAAATAAAATAAAATAACTGTGATTTTGATATGGTATTAAGCATCTTACCACTGTTGGACATTTGGAATAAATTGTTCTTCTCAAATTTCTTGAACACGCTGCCTTTGATCTCCACAAACTGTATGATTGAAAAATAAAGATTCAGTTTTTAAAATTATGATGTGAATTCTATAAAACAACATTTTGATGCAGCTTCTAATGTGCAAATACTTTGTCATTTGTGATGTTTCAGAACGCGCAGCTCGCTCTGCGTCAGAACGCGCGGCTCGCTCTGCGTCAGAACCCGC